TGTCTTCCGGGTCCTTGCCAGGGGGCAGCTTCCCTTCCTTCAGAGGGTCCGTGGGTCCTCTTGGGATTGCTAGCTCGTCCTTGCAGTCCATCTGCAGCTAAAATTCACAGTGTAAGCTTCCGCATGCTGCTCTGTCAGGAGCTGGAATCTAGTCCCACCTCCCGTCCACCATCTCTCCATGGTATCTCCCCACATATATGCTTTTTTGTACACCTTTGCTCACAAAGTTCCTTCTCTAGTGAATGTTTATCCCTCTCTCCCCTGCTGAGGTTCTAACTTTCCATCAAGGGCTCCCTTATGTACAAAGCCCTTCATGAAGCATCCCCTATGTACCCCACTGTTTCCAGATTATTACCACTTTCTGAATTCTATACTGCCATCTGGACCACATATTTGATTCTAAGCTGGGGATGCCCTACTCATCTTTCTATGAAGAAGTCTAGTCTCAGCTACTAGCTTATACATTCGGTGGATCTTAGATCAACTATGCTCAAACATCTCTAATGTTTTAGACGAGTCTGAATTCTAAATATTTTGCTTGTTGGTAAAAGCATAAACCCTGATTTTACTTCAGAACATAAAGTAGATGAAGAGTTATAGATCTCCTTTTCTCCAGTGCCTAAATCAAGGGTATGTAATAAAGACTTTTTGGGCCAGGCGCTGTGGCTCATGCCTGTAATCCCAGCACTTTGCTGGGGCTGAGGCAGGCGAATCACGAGGTCAGGAGATCGACACTATCCTGGTCAATATGGTGAAACTCCGTCTCTACTAAAAATACAGAATTTAGCTGGGCGTGGTGGCGGGCGCCTGTAGTCCCTGCTACTCGGGGGGCTGAGGCAGGAGAATCGCTTGAACCCAGGAGGTAGTGGTTGCAGTGAGCCGAGATCATGCCACTGCACTCCAGCCTGGGTGACAGAGCGAGACTCTGTCAAAAAAAAAAAAAAAAAAGAGAGAGAGAGAGAGACTTTTCAAGTCTGACTAGGTCTTTCTGTAGCTACATAGCCATACCTGAGTCTCATTTCATCTTTCAGCTTGTTATTTGACATGGCAGGTCAGGGTTAGATGAGTGGTTGTCTAAGTCTAAACCTTGGGATTCTAAGGGTTCTAGAGACATGATTTTCAGGAGTGTTCTGGGGAGAGGGAAAGGAAGGAGGAGGGCCAGGTAGGTAGGATCCCTCATCTTCCAGCTCTTCCTACCTTCTTCAGAAACGCTTTTCATGGATCTAATTCACAAGTTTGTGTTTCTGCCCACAGTTTCATTTGTACAGAACATTCTCCATGGCTTTAAAATATTTCAAAGTTGCCGGAGTGGATGATTTCTAAAGTCTATTGCAGTTTTTCTATTTTTTTTTTTTAATCTGTTGCTGAGGATGAAGGAGAATGAGGGCTAACATGTACTGAGTCCTCACTGTGTGCCAAACACTGTGCAGAGTGCAGGCACTCTGATAATTCCCATTTTATATGTAAGGACAAGGGCTTGCAGTAAAGACACACGGTCAGTTAGTGATTAATAAGATTGAGACGTGAGTTGAAGTTGGTGGGGCTTAACTACTATACTGCCTGCCATTTTTAGTTATCTACAGAGAAAGGTTAGGAGCTAGAACATAGCCCCCTCTGCCTGCTTTGTGAGAAGAAGATGGTGCAAATGACAAAGCAGGGCATTAGCGCTTGCAGAAGTGTTTGACGAAGGTGGCTCAGCCACATGGTCAACCTTAGCCTCATCTATAGAAATGAATAGCTCGAATAGCTGTAGTATCCATGACTGGTGAATGCTCTTATCTTTGACAGTATTGCTTGAAGTCTGGAAGAAAATTGGACTGGCAGGGATTTAACTAGACCTGATCTTCCAAGCGGTTCACATTTTTGACAATATTGCTGACCTCTTCAGCAAGCCAGAACATGGCTCAGAACTCAGGATGTTGAATTGAGCCCAAAAGCACCTTCTCTAAGGTAGCCTACAAATACAGATACACAAGGCAGGTGTCTCAAGTTAGTGAATATCTTACATACAGCTACAAAAATCTTAAGACTTTACTGACACAAAGACACAACAGAGTCTCTTAAATTTAAAAAAAAAAAATGAGTCAAGGGAACTGCCAATTTCAATTCAGAGAGAGCAGGGTATTGCCTGAGAGTGGTTCCAAGACAAGCAAGATTTAGCCACAGACAAACCATTTGCCTGTAAACCTTAATCAGTAACTGAATCATACAATAAAATCTATAAATTCCTTGTATCTGGTGCCGCCAAGATGTCTGAGAGGGGCTGGTCCAACCACCCAATCGACCCATCAGAAGATTTTTCCCCTCTGCTGACAGGGGTTCTCTGTGTAGAGCTTGACTGGGAACCAGGCTAGGATTCAGCGTAAGCTGCTCTGTAAAACTGATTTTTTCAGGGAGCCACAGTATAATTTCACTAAGAAGTTGCAAGCTTGGTTTTGACATTCTTCATATTGTCACAGAAATTATAACTGCACTTAAGTCCAGTGAATTGTGTGTGTGGCAGGGAGTGGGGGAAGGAGGGTTTGTTGTTTGGTTTTGTTTTTAAACTGGGACAGAGGAATTGAGTTAAGGGGGGAAATTAGGCCTTTACTAAAGGGAAGAAAACACACACATACAATAGAGCATTTCAGAGGCTGCATACAGTAAATTATAATGTTTTTTTAAAAAAAGAGATGGCATTTCTCTCCTGTCTTTTTTCATTTCCCACCTCCTCCTGCTTATTCTTCAAGAGTCATCTTTCTTGCCCAACATGCTCACAAAAGGCCTCCTTTATTACCTTTTGTTATGTCACCTCCTGATGTGGGAGTGGTGTGATAATGGGGTCTCCCAAGCTGAGTCCTTGAGGATAGATAATCACTCTTTGTTAGTGGGCTTTCCACCTTTCTTCTGAGGCTTTCAAAGGCTTAAAATAAGGCTCCACCAAATAGGTATGGCAGATGTTATTAAACTTCTATTTTTCTGGGTAAAAAACTGAAGAAAGTGGCACCTAGTGAAAGAGTCTTGGCTTCCATTTTATTCATTTTCAAAGCCAAGCTTGAGGAGTTGTCATTATGTATATTTAAAAAATAAAAAGAGGAGAAAAGAGTTCTCAAATAGTTTCCAAAGAATACGCAGTGATGAAAGAAAGAAAGAAAGAAGAGAAAGAAAGAAAGACAGAGAGAGAAAGAGAGAAAGAAAGAAAAAAGGAAAGAGGGAAGGAAGGAAGGAAGGAAGGAAGGAAGGAAGGAGAGACAGACAGAAAGAAAAGATGAAAGAGGGAAGGAAGGAAGGAAAGAAAGGAAAAAGAAAGAATAAAAGAAAGAAAGAAAGAGAAAGCAGGAAGAAAGAAAAGAAAGAAAGAAAGAAAGAAGAAAGAAAGAGAGAGAAAGAAAAGAAAGAGCTACAAAAATAAAGCTGAAGCGAAATCATTTGCTGTGGCATAAACTCACCAACCCAGGTTTTCTCCTACAATATCTGGAGTTTGCAAAAGAATATTAAAAAAAATAGATGCGGCCCCATCTTCTGGCAGTCTGAAGCAATAGCTGTAGCAATCTGAGTTTTCAGATATGGTTTGTTTTGTTTCATTTTATATTTTAAGGTGTTCTTCGAGGTTTGTACTTCCTTAAGGTGACTGCCATCTGAAGGCAACTATTTCCTTAGCAGCATTTCTACTCCCAAAGGCAGAAACCAGTTGGGTGGGTGTCAAAAAAGCTTTGTGATCTGACACCAAGCCCATCACAGGTCTGCCTGTGGACAGGTTAGGCATTGGTGTGGGAGTCTGTGCATGGGCAGTTGCCTTCTGTGCAGAGAGGTAGACAATACCCTTGGATTTGCTGACTGAAACAGACTCCATGGACCTGAATGTTCTATAAAGGTATTTTGTCAGCTCATGCTGGTGACAACCTCCACCCTAAACTCCATAGTAACTGGACGGTTCCTCGAGTTCAGCAAGAATGATGGATGATGTGCACAAGTCAAATCTTATCTGCTTCTCAGCAATGATTAATTGTTCCCCAAGATAAAAGCTCAAAGAGTCAAGATTCACTTAGGGCTCAATTTTGACCAAGAATTCCGTGGTTGTTTGTGTGGGTTGGTAAGGATTAGAGGACAGACAGACTGGGGTGAGAGGAAGGCATGGTAATGCATTCTGTTTCCTCAGATAAAGATAAAAGAGACAAAAGAAACAGCTGGCTGAGTCTAAGGGTTGAATAAGCTCATCTGTTTAGTTGTCTTCCTCTGAGGCTACAGTGTTCACTGAGGTTGCCTGACTGTAGACCCTGTAGTGGGATGAACCCAGAATTTCTAAAGCCTTCCAAGCTGGAGTAGATTTGGACTGGGGGCTATGCAAAAAAGCATGTTCCCTCTCCCACAATCGAAAATGAGGCTTCCCAACATCCCATGGAAATGGTGACACTTGTAGATGTCAGATCATAGTGATATCATAAAACTTGAGACAGGATGGTAAAAGAGGTTATTAACTACCTATATAGACTGTAAAACCAAGGGCATGGGCTTGTTTGTTCTCAAGCGAGGTAAACATCTCCAATTTCATGTCAAAGTATAAATGAAAAACAAGAGCACCTAACTATGACATCTGCTGAAACAATGACCATCATCTCTCTAGACCGTGCTGGGCCAGCTCTCTCCTGTCTCCTGCATCTTGATCAGCTTTGTAATGGGGAACACAGTAGTACCTTAGCCTCAATATAATCATGTGACAACAACAATACAGCAATAACTAATCTAAACTGTGCTCTTACTATATGCCAAGTACAATAAACAGCACTTGGCATGAATCGTCTCCTTGAATTTTTAAAACAAAACTGTGAGAGATATTTTTATTGTTCCCTTTTTACGGATGAGAAAAGGGAAGATTCGTTAGGGCAAGGACACACCAAAGACATTCTAGCTTTTTTTCACTTATTCATTAACTCACAATTCATCACAGTTTTTCTTGAGCTGTAATTATGTCAGGCCATATTTGAGACTTGGTAGGATACAGCAGTGAGCAGAACAGGTAGGTTCTTGCCTTAATGGAGTCCACATCAGCAGATGATAAACAAATATGTCATGTTATGGACTAAATTATCTCCCCCCAAAATTCTTATGTGGAAGCGA